AGAGATCTGGTTTCGAGGTGGCCGGAGCAGGGGGGTATTCAGTGAACTTGTATCTCTTTACACTTGGTACTTTCTATGGATGTGTGTTTTCCTTCATAAATTGCATGAAACTTCAATTGCCAGTGCTTTGTTATGAGTTGTACAGCTGGAGTAAGGGAATTCCTCAGGGCAAACAGTTCATGGGTGTGAAAGTGCTCCCATCAGGACAGCTTGTACAGCTCTGTATCCAAAGCAAACAATAACAGAGAGGGGCTGCTACTACCACTAATAAGGTTTCTTCTGGGAGGAAAGAGAGGGTGGCTAATTCAGCTTCATGTTTGCTAAATAACTTGAAAAGTTGGGCGGCACCTCATGTAAAAAGTACAATTTTTGTTTTTGTATTTTTGGGAAAAATGACCGCTGGTATCTCACAGTGTTCCAAAGTGATGCATAATGTAGGCAAAAGACTTAAACGCTACTGCTCAAGTTGTGCATTTGCTGGAAGTTACTGAGCTTTCAGAAAGCCTCCCTTGATGCCCAACTGCACTGTGGGGAGGGTGTGAGTGTGTTGGAACTGGCTCTCACTGATGGAGGCTTGAAAGAAGTTGGAAAACAAGTTTTCTTGAGTTAAACTGTAACTATGGTATTAGGTGGCTGCCCCTGGCTAGGCTTTGCCTGCTGGGGGTTTTACTGCAACAGCAGCAACACGGTGATTGTGCTTTTGGGGACAGTTAAAAGGGGCTGTTTATTTTGCAGAAGAATGAAGGGTGTCGTGACAATTTCTCTTCAGCTCTGCTGCAGTGGTTTTAATAACTTAACTACTTTGCTACCTCTCCCCCCGCTTACTCTGTCATGGGGAAATGTGAATTTATAGTTAATTATTAATGGTGGTCAGACCTGGAACAGCCTGTGCTTCTCCACATTGTTAGTCTGCCAAGTTGGTCATGTTTGTGAATTTGCCTAGAACTGCTTGAAAAGGCTGGAGATGTAGTGTTAAGAAGCTAGTCAAGAACATGGTGACAGTTAGGTGAATGTTACAGAGATGTTGCCAGAAGTGCCTCATTTCACTGAGCAATGTCTGCATGTTTCTCTATTTCTGCAGAGAGAAGCTTGACAGGGGTGGGGGGGATGCAAACTGTGAAGCACCTCCTGTTTATTGTCATTGCTTTGTGAAAACATACTTATTCATTTCTTTAAATGAATAAACAATGAATTTACAATTATTTAAAATATGTTTACTTCATTACTTTGTTCAAATTTTCTTGAGCAGCACAGAACTGCAGAATTCACAGTCTTACTTACGATCAAAATATACACAGTTTGTATAGTTTTATGTCTAATAAGCCAAGTAGAGCTCCCAGTTTTCTCTGCTTCCAATTTAGAGTCGAGAAGACTTGTTTCCTTTGAAGAAAGCCTACTTAGAGGTAATAATACAGTTGGTAGGTGTTTCAGGACAGGCTTTCTTTTCCAGATCCCCTGCAATATTCACTAGTAGGGAGGTGGCACGTGAGTTGTGATGCAGCAGTCTCAGTACTGGAGCAAAGCAAGCTGGAGAAATCTGGAGCCAACTTCAGCTTGGGAGCAGTCACTGCACTGGGGTAAAGTTATTGTGGTCATCTTGCACTTGGGAAAGGACAAGAGGGCTTCAGAAATGTGTGCAGGGGGAATGGGCACATTGCTCTGAGACTAAAATTGAATCAGGCCCAAAGCTGCTGGAGTAGCTGGAGACTGCCTGTGGTCTGTCCCCTGGGCACTGCTTTTCAGCCATCTTCTGGTGGGTTTGGATGTTCTGCTTTGGTTTGCACCCTGGAGAGGTCTTGTGGTGCACACATTTGGGTGTATTTTAGGTTAAACTTAACTGGAAGATTGCACCAGATGCTTATGGGCATTCAGGCTCAAGTAACCTCGCTGAAATCGGCACAGGAGGTTTGTCTTTCCTTTAGCACCGGCTGCTTTGCGCTACACATCTCCCTCTTACTACGCTGCTGGACTTCCCATGTCGATACAGTGGGACAAGACTCAGTCTGTATGAGGCAGCAGTGGTAATAAGAAGCTGCAGAAAGCTGTATAAGCTCAGGGAAATGATTTGTGAGGAGGGGGGAGAAAGAAAGATCCATCCTGTGGTGGGTGACACCGTGCAGGTTATTATTTTCTTCTATAGAAGACCTGTTTAAAAAACCCCAAGAACAAACTAAACAACCAAGACCCCCCCCCAACATCAGCTCTTTACCCTTTCTGGTGTAGCTGTCCATAGGATTATATTGTAACCTGAATCCCACAAAACAGTAAAAAAAACCCCAAACCCTGCAAACATACAAAACCCCAGCCAAAAACTGTCACCCCCAAAACCCCACCACCCCCAACCACAAAAAAACTCCCAGCAAGCCAACAAAAAAGCTCCCCCAGCGTGGTAGTGCTGTTGTAGTTGGGGGTGTTGTGATATCTTCCGTTTCTCTAAAGGCTTGTTGGGCAGCCCTGATGTCTGGGTGTGGGGCGAAATCAGGTTTGTTAATAAACTTTGCTTCTCAGAGTGAAGACCTCCAGCAGCCGGTTGTATTGGACGGTTGCATGTTCTGGGGTATCTCATTGCGTATATGCTCATGTGTAGTAAAGAGTGTACTTCTGTCTGAAAAGTCCTTCTGAGCACTGCTTATGAGTGCATGGCAGAGGTCTTCAAGCACTCGCAAGTGTAGGATGCGACAGGATTTTAATGTGCCTGTTTCTCAGGAGTGCCTTATTCCTTCGTTATGTAAAATACTCTTGCTTCTGCAAATGAGATTGTATCTTGAAGTGTATATTTAAAAAAAGACAAAATGATGGGGGTAAAGGGGAAGGTGAGAAACGAATGCTTGTACAAGAACTCCAAGGCCATTTTTACTTTCCTGTAGTAAAATCTGGCTTTTTTTTGGTTCATGTTTGCATCAAAAGTTCTTTTCCCAGGGTATGTAATCCCTTTTATTTAGTGCCTTCCCCCCCCTCCCCCTCCTCCTTTTTTTTTCCTTGGGATTGCTAAAAATGTTCTCATAATAACTCGATAAACACTTCTTATCTGAGGACAGAGCTGTACGTGTGGTCAGAGTTCAGAGTCATGTAGTTAAGCCTAACATGCAAACCCCAAAAGGTGATAGCCTGTTTTTTTCCTCATCCAACTGAAATCAATGTTAAAGAGAAAGCTGGGAGTGCATGCTTCCAGTCCTTCTGGAATGGTTTCAATAACATGAGCTATAGAAGCCTTTCATGTTTTTGAAGACCAGTGATCCCAACAGGCTCAGGAAGGGTTTGAGTGGTGTTCTGGCTGTGCTGGAGGACTGGCATTCCCCTGTTCTCTCTGCCAGGGGGTGGTTGTCCTGTCTTCAGAAAACCTCCTTAACTGCAGTGTAGGTTTATCACTGCTTTTTCCAAGTCATCATCTTGAGAGTTAGTCTTAAACCCTTGCTGTGGAGCAGAGGGCCAGTGGCAGTCCCTAATATTGGGTAGCTGCTGGCCGTCTCCAGCTCTCTACATTGACTGGCTCTGGGCGAACAGCTTTGCAAAGAAAAGGGATTTGAAATTTTCTTCTACTGCTGGGGCAAAACCTATTATAGGATGCTAAACTGAGATGATGGTATGATGATTTTAATTGCTCTTAGGATGCTTAAATGTTAATTTGCATAAATCAAATCACAGCTTTGGAATAATCATGCCATGTGTTTGGTTAGTTTTCATTTGATCAGTCATTGTAATGTCTGGCGCAAGTTTTATGGGACTTATCTGCAATTTAAATACCCATTGCCAGAATCTTCATGTGCTGGGTGTGAAAAAGTGATTGAATTAAAAAGTACTATTCTCTCAAAGAATTTGTCTTTGTGAGTTGATCAGACTTGTATAAGCCAAAATTTCCCTGAAAACTTGCAGTCCTTTGCTATTCAGTGCCTTTTTCTTAGGGTTTAGCGTTATGTGACCTGACAGCTCTGGAAGGGGACGCAATAGGGTGAGTGCAGATACGAGAGCTGGAAGGTGCATCAGCTGAGAGGTGGGGTCTATGCAATGTAAAGGGGAATTGAGATTCCTTATCCTGCATGTGGGCCAGCTACTGCTGCCATTGCCCTCCTTCCTCTGATGCTCTGCTGGCCACCACAGTCTGCTTCATGCCTGGGAAAGGGAGGTACAGTGAGGAGCATGTCCCTGCTTTCCATAGAGCTGGTGTCCTGAGTCAGGGACAAATTAGGGGACTAATCCTGTGCAGAATGGGGCTGCTGTGCTCAGGGGCTTCCCAGGCAAGCAGGCTGCTTCCTCCTATGAAAACTGATACATAAACTAATGCAAGGGGATGCTGTATAACTTGGGGAAACTACTGGTTTTGTGACTGGATTAGATTCCAGGTAAATTACCAGGTAAATTAAAGTGCAGTGAAGTTGCAATTGTTTATGTGAACACACACATGCCTCTGTAAGGTATTTTGGGCTCTGACAGACACTCTGATTGCTTTCTCTTCCATCATGGTGAAATTCTTTGAGCTTTGACAGTTGTCGTTTGTTTGTGTGTTCTCAGAAGCCTGATGGTGCTTACGATGAGTAGGTCTGATACCTTGTGGAACAGGCAGCATTGGCTCACAGTTAAGAGCTTTTCAGTTATTTTAGATCATTGTTGATAAGTATTTGAATTATTTAACTTTCGTTACTGAATGTTTTTATGTAGAATTTTGTTTGTTTGTTTGTTTTTAAGTGAAAGCTGAGTTTTTAATAGCACAAAGGTAGTTCCTCCACTTGAAAAATGACAGGTAGTGGCCTGCTGCAGGCTGTCTCAGTCATAAACTGACACAAAAGCAACTACGGCTGTGACCTGCTGCTGCCATGGTCCTTGTGTGCACTGGGAAGGCACGGGGACCTTGCTGTGGACTGTGGGAAATTTAACACAAAGTACCTTCAGGCTAGTTCGTTTGGAAAACGTACTCATGTCCTGTTTTTTTGGAAGAGGAAGCTGCGTGGAAATGTAAATGCAAGATTCTCACTTGCTTTTTCTTTTTCTCTCCCTCTGTAGGTATGGCCTCACAAGTCTTGGTCTATCCACCATATGTTTATCAAACCCAGTCAAGTGCCTTTTGTAGTGTGAAGAAACTCAAACTAGAACCAAGCAGTTGCGTGTACAACGAAAGAACCTACCCCCAAATCTATGTGAATGGTAAAAACTTTGGAATTTCTCCCCACAGGGTTAGTACATTCTTTCAGACTAAAAATCCATTTGACAGACCTCGAGGACAGAACTTTTTGTTGCCGTCAAATGCTGTTGCTTTAACAAATATTGCAGGTGCTACAAAAGTGTTTGCGGCGTGGGCACAGCAAGCTCAGTTAGAGGCACCTCGGGCTGGGGCAGATACCCTGGAAGGGCCCCAGCGATGTGGATTGAAGCGTAAGAGCGAAGAGCTGGATAATCAAAACGGCACGATGCAGATTGTTGATGAACTGGCCATCCTGCCTGCAATGTTGCAAACCAACGTGGGAAACCCGGTGACGGTCGTGACAGCGGCTGCGACTTCAAAGCCAAGTGGTACAAGTGGAGACGGAGATTACCAGTTAGTACAGCATGAGGTATTGTGCTCTGTGAAAAACACTTACGAGGTTCTTGATTTCCTTGGGCGAGGGACCTTCGGACAAGTCGTGAAGTGCTGGAAAAGGGGGACAAATGAGATTGTGGCGATCAAAATCTTGAAGAATCATCCTTCGTATGCACGCCAAGGACAAATAGAAGTGAGCATATTAGCGAGACTAAGTACTGAAAATGCTGATGAGTTTAACTTTGTGAGAGCCTATGAATGCTTTCAGCATCGTAACCATACTTGTCTGGTTTTTGAGATGTTGGAACAGAATTTATACGACTTCCTGAAACAAAACAAATTCAGCCCCCTGCAACTGAAAGTAATACGGCCTATTCTGCAACAGGTGGCCACTGCACTGAAAAAACTAAAAAGTCTGGGTTTAATCCATGCTGACCTCAAACCGGAGAACATTATGTTGGTGGATCCTGTTCGGCAGCCTTACCGGGTTAAAGTAATAGACTTTGGGTCTGCCAGCCATGTATCAAAGACTATTTGTTCGACCTATTTACAATCTCGGTATTACAGGTAGGTGTAGCTTTTAATGGAATAAAGTTTTAGCAATTATTAAAGTTAATGGCTTAAATAATTACTCTTCCAGATAACTAATAATAACTTGGAAAACATAAGGATCATCTTAAAAAAGTGTAGGTCATACTGAGATTAAGTGCTCGGTTACCATTTTAAATGTGGATACTTGCTTTGAATGTTTTTATGGTGGTGGTTTTTCCTGGAAGTCTGCTTTGGGTTGCACTCTGAAGTCATCGCTCTGCTGTTATTTTGAGATCTCTGATGAGACATTTTAAAAGGAAAATAAAAAAAAAAAAGTTGGCTTTCAGTTGCTTGATTGAGATGCCTTTGATGCCTTTCCTGCCTCCCTGATGTGATGATTTTTCTCTGTAAGCAGCTGGACAGTGTACTAGAAGTGCTATGTTTTCTATCCTGTTGCCAAAGATTATGTAAATGTCTCTGTTTTTCTCCAGCACTTGTAAATATTTTGCCTAGTTCTTATAAACTCCATTCTGACTGAGTGCCTTCAGCAGCTGTGAACTTCAGTGAACCTCTGGAGTTAGTGAGCAACAGGATACTTAAATATTTGCGGTGATACCAGGCGAACATTTAAAGTGATTTTTGGTACTTGATTGCATTCTATATTGACCTCAAAATGGATGCATAGTTTTTGTTTTGGTTTTTTTTTTGTTTGTTTTCTAATCCTTTCTTTGTACAGTTATCCAGTCATCGTGGAGTTAAAAAGCTATTAATATTTAGCATCTTCTGAAGTCCTTTTGATTTCTTTAAAAGCTGCAATTGTCTCGAATGAAGACCTCTTTCAGTTCTGCTTTGCATCAGTGGCAATAGTATGTCCTGTGTCCTGCCTGTCTGCCGGTTCAGTAAAAAGCTGGTAAACTAGCACAATGACTAATTTGAAGAAAATGTGAACTATTTTAGAACTATTCATGTTGGAAGGGAAAATTCGTGCCGTGCAGTTCTAGGCTTGATGAAGTTAGTGATTGGCGTTCATGCCAGAAGAGTCTAACTATTTTTTGACTGTAGCTTGTAAACAAGAGCACTTCATGTACAGCACTTGCATAAAATATTCGAATTTGTCACCTGCATTTTTCTATTACTTAATTACAAACTACAGCTAAGGGTTTAAAAACTACCCAGAGTTCGTCAACAGAAAACTAAATTGGGAAACCATATGGATTGATGCATTCCCACATTATACAACAACTTGGGGTGCTGTTCCTTTGCATCTATGCTTTATGTAGAATTTGGACGTGCTTACTAGGAGCAGGTCTGTATGCTGTGCAGTGTGCAACTCCTTGGCACCTTGGTGGCGTTTTCGATAAGTGTATTGCATTACATGCACTGAAATGAGAGTAAATAGGGTTTGTTGTGGATGTACATTCAAAAATACTGTGTCCCCACCACCCCAGGAATAGTACTTGGGGGTGTATCTGTTTGTCTTGGCTCAATAATGTTCAGTGATAATCGTGTTAGACTCACAGAACATGTGCACCCTAAAATTCCGGAGTTACTAAGCTGCTTTGCAAATACTCAGGCTGTCAGTAGAAGATCGTATTCTTTTATCTTGTATAGTTTTATACTCCTTCTATAAGGTAACATTTAAGTCGGTATGTTTTTTTGTAAGTAAAAAGGACATATAAAAAGGTCTGTCTACTTGGGTAGTTTTGGTGTTAGTTTAAGTATTGGTCAGGGTAATTTTGAAATTGACTTTATTTTGAAAAAAGAAAAATTATATTCCAAAATTATTTTCAGCCAAAAGTTTATGGCTGAGAAGATTTACTTCTGGAAAGGTTTTTGGGATGCTGGATTTCATCCTGGATGCAGAGCTCTCTACTGGTTACGTGATTCAAATTAACTCTTGTGCAGCGTGGCATGCGGTTTCCCAGACTTTATTGCTTTGGAAGCACCTGACTAGTGTAAATAAGACCAAAAAATATGAATTTGATCCAAAAGGACTCAAAATAGATGATGCTAGGGAAAGTTGAAGAGAAAAGCATTAGAAAGGAATGAGAAGGAACTTCAGAGAACATACTGTATTAAGATGGAATTTATTTTGCAAGAGATTGTGCCTTCTTGTCAATCAAACGAGCTACTTGTGAAATGTAACTGTACTGAAATGTTTTCTGTATTAGAAGAGGGTGGGAGTGATAGTGCAGGTTTGACTTGTTTGACTATGGCGTGTTGAAACAAGCCCTTTACAAAAATCAGGCAGCAATTGGGACATTGAAATCTATGTATTATTTTTTTTAATTTCCTTTCAGCTCAGTGGGGCTGTGTGCTCGTGTAGGTTATTTAGCAGGAAAACATTTGTTTAAGTAGAGTTTTATTTAAAGCTTCGAGCTGAATGAATCCAATTAGAGTTCAGACTGGAGACATTTTTTAGAGAACGCTTGTTCCATACAGCACCTCTTTTATCCGCATGATCCCATGTGTGTTCTTGAGCACAGCCTTTGCAGACTGTTTCTGTGCAAAGCTGTGTGTCTACCGTTGCGAGCCGTACCTGTTAACCCCTCTTGGTGGGGATCCTGGCATGGTCAGAGATGACTGTGCATGAGATCTGGCTTCACCAAGGAACAAGCACAATGCAATACTTAGACATTTGTATGGATATCTTGTATGTAAATGTGGTGTGAACCTGGCCTTTTCTGATGTACAAAAGCACATAGCCAGGCCCAAGAATTTAAAGGAAAAGTTATTAAGAAACGTTTTGTTTTAAAATTACTATTTTAGCATCTGAGGTCTTTGAAAAGCCTGGACTGAAAAGCCCTTAAACAAGAGCGCAGGCTGGGAGGGCGCAGGGCTGCGTTCCCACAGCACTGAGATGCAGCTTCTCAACCTGTGGTGCCAGTGCCGTCCCCATCCCTCCTGCTCTCCCTCATCTGCCCGTGCTGATGCCAGCTGCAGGAGGGAGGGATGTGGCCTGGGGAAAAGGGAGGAACTGTGCTTTCTGGCAGCTCTGGCAGCTTATGCCACTGTCATTTCCAAGGATAGAATCTGTACTTCTTCTATGGAAGGTGTATGCCCAGCAGTGTCTATAGAGGTGTTATGTTGGGTGCCCAAGAGAAACCCATAAAGAAGTATTGCAAAAGTGAATAAAGGGTTGTTTGTTGTTGTTTGTTTGAAGAGAGATTGTGAAAACATGAGACTAATAGGATTTTAAAAGGGTGTAGAGAAGCAGAAAAATGGAGACGAAGTGGATGGAGTGATGATGATCTGATGTTTTCCTGTTTCTGTTTCAGCTTTGTGAAGCAAAGTGATAGTAGGACGATGGTTAAAATGAGTTTAAAAATCTCTTTTAGACATTTCATTACTTTTTTCGGAAACTTCTGGCTGTTACATATTGCTAGAAGTTAGAGTATGGGTATGAATAAATACCAAGCACAATACATGTCTCGAGTCTCAGATTGTTATGTTTGTTTTAAAGATGAAATGTTACTCTGAATACTCTATCCTTAAAAGACAGTGTCTGTGCTTACATGCCAGTTTTATGTTGGTTGGGATTTTAATAGCTGTGGGCTAGAGAGAGCTGGTATTTGTAGCCTTTTCTTCACTGCTGGCCTCACATGTTAAAACTGTTGACCTTTTATGAATGATCTAAGTAGGTAAATAACTAAGCAGTGTATACATTTTGGAAAGAGGGGAAACCCTTACGTACAGTGTAGGTGCTCACACTTTGTCATACATGGGAATGGTATGATAAGTATGTGTCCTGGGTTCAGCTACAGCAGTATGTTGCTGTCCTTTTGGTCAGCTGTGCCCCAAATCACAACAAGGGGAGTGATGCCTCCAAAATCATCCTCTTACCTAAGCATGGTGCAGGTTGTGAAGGAGGGGAGTCAACATGTTTATTTCTAAGGCTGGTGTCTTGTGCTCGTGTGGTGAGGCAGACAGTTTTCTGGGGGTATGTTGTTTCCCTCTGGAAGTGATTTTCCTTTGCTGTGCCTCTTTTCTGAGGTTAGATGTATTTAGAGAAGCGAGTGTCAAAAGAGGGGCTTCCAAATGGCAGGCTCCAAGGCGCAGTAACCTCCACCAAGAGTTGAGTGATTGGAAATGGTCAAGGCAGTGTTGCCTATCTGCCTTGGGAGCTGAGTTGCTTTCCTTTCTGCTGCCGTGAGAAGCAATGGCCTTCTCTGCGTTTTGTGTTTGGAGATAACTGTTTAGGTCTGGTTTGAGAGCAGACCTCTTCTTTCTTCTGGTACTCCCCCCAGGAGCGTGTTTTTCAGAGAAACTTCTGTTGAAACATGTATGATTTCCCTTTTGCAATAGCTGTGCCAGCCGTTAAGGTTCCGTGTTACTCGTTAGCCAATACCCAGAGGACAGTTAGAGATGCCTTCTGCACATCACTGTCCTCTGCAGCATTCGGCCATTGTGCAGAGTGGGTGAAATTGTACTTCAGAGGTGCACGGGTCCATGTAATGGTAACATCTGTATGGCAGGGTTTGGTAATGAAGCCTCTTCTCTGATCCTTTTCTTCTCCCACTTGTTGCTTTGCTGTAACACCAACTGAACTTGTAAGATATGTTGACAAGTTGGCATTGCACGTTGAGCATAGATCACTAACGGAGAGCTATAGTGTGTGCAAAGCTTCATTATTTCTGGGGTTTCCTGTTGGTTTTGAGGAGTTTTTCAAGCGGAATCATCTTCTTGTTGATTTTAATTTGGGTTTTCTTTTTAAAAGACAGGATTTGAAAATGATACTTCAGTAAACCTTACAAAACTTGTCATTCATAAATTCCATCTAATATCATGTACTGCACAATAGCCATTCCGGTGTAGGAGAGAGCGTGTGACTTCACTGCGTGTTCCTTACGCGCAGCTTCCAAAGGGAGTTGAACAGTTGCTGCTTCACTTGCCTGTGTAGCTGCCCCAGTGGTTACGTTTCCTGTCTTTTGCCTCCTGTCTCCGAAGGAAACATCTGCTTCATCAGACTGTGTCAGGTTATACTGCTGTTAGAACACAGCTGGAAATCTTCCTGAAAACATGTTTTGAGAACAAGC